TTCCTCGTGCACCCGTGAAGTGGACCATTCAGTACCGCTTTCATCTGATCGGTCTATCGAGAAGAAGAGAGCCGAGATCATGCACTATGGGACTGCTCACTTTATGAGGCCGCTCGGAACAAAATGCTGGGGAAGATAACGATCACAGAACCCGGACCGATCTTTCATGGGAACCTCGTCAGCTGCAGAAGTAACTGGGATGCATTCTGCGAGTTTTCCCATTCTTGGCACTCCATCCGTGTCACATACGAGTAGGACCGAAGACCATGAAGATGCCCGACGCGAAGAGCTGTGTTGTGACGTCTAGCCCCAGAAGGGGGAGAGTAGGAAAAAAAGAAGGGACGGAAACAGAATTTGTAGGGAGTCAAGTCAAGCGCAGGCGGGGAAAAAGCCACTGGCAAGTACCCCCGCGCTCTCCCAAGATTCGGTCCGTATACCATGATTGGTAGGTCTATCGGTGTTCTGTGGTTGCCTAACTTATGTTATTCTACCACGCTCGAGTTAATCTCTAAATCCCCGTCTGGGCTCCCCGACTTATCCTTTTATCCAAGATCTTTTAAATATGAAGCATTTAAACGTATTCCTAATGCGTGGATAGAATATTTTCTTCAGTTTCTGTACTAAGTACAGGTATTCTGTCCACGTAAGCATCGCGATGACATTGCTCCGTGGTCAGACTAAAGACGGCATATTAAAACTTAATCAGCCAACTAGAAGTAGATCAGTGTACTAACATTCAATTGAGTTTATTTTTAAATCGAAGATTTATAGGTCTTTAATAAATAATAAGAGAGCCAAAAATAATATTTCGATTGTGATGTGAATTTTAAATATAAATTTTTAAATAATAGCTTAGTGTGTATTGAATTTCCTTTCCGTGATTACATAAGACTATTAATTTTTTATTTATTTTTAAGAATTTAACTGCTAGCTAGATGTTTAAATCTAAAGAAAAGTTTTACTAGAAAAAAATCCACGCGGACCAGGCAGCGGACGGGACTCGAACCTTCGCAATCCGGGCGAATGCACTGACCGATTTTTTTTTCTACTAAAAATTTCTTTAGATTTAAACACCTAGCAGTTAAATGCTTAAAAATAAATAAAAACTTAACTATAATTGCTATTTCTTGAAATGTTTAATACTTGAAAAAGTATTCATTTGACATTGTGGGCTACCTACAATGCGAAGAGATGGCGCTGCCATGCAGCTTAAAGGCTAGGAAAATTTCGACGCGGCCATCGGGGCCGTGGTAGCATAATTGGCAAAGATATTAGCCACGAGTTTGTGATGGCATCCACATGTTGGAAGACAGTTCACTTTGCTACTTATCGTTAGTAAAATTCCTTGATTATTTATTGGTTACCTATTTGACGTTATGTAATAGAAGTTGACCTCAACGCAATATGTTTGCAAGTTTGATGTCAACTTTCAATTTGACGACACTGTATGAAATAAAACAGGGAGAAAAAAGCTACCCTTGCTGAGTTTCTTGTCGGTTGTTCTCAGTACAAGGTCTCCCGTCATAGTTTTGTGGACCAATGGCGTAGTTTTCGATTTTCACATGTGCTTGTAAAACTCTAAACGGAATAAATGATTTTTGAAATGAATTGAATTGCTTCGGTTCAAGCTAATGTGCGGACGAATTCATTAAATTGGATATATTGTCACTAAGAGCTCCTCTGGTTAATTTATTCACATCATATCCCTATTATAGTTTAATATACTGAAATGAAATGAAATGAAATGAAATGAAATGAAAATGAAATGAAAAGTCATTTATTCAGTCTAGGCTGTTACAAGCACTTGTGAAGGTCAAGAAACTACGCCATCGGTTCGCAAAACTACGGCGGGAGACCTTGTACTGAGAAGAACCGGCAAGAAACTCAGCAAGGGCTGCTTTTTTCTCCCTGTATTGATATATACAGAGTCGTCAAGTTGAAAAATGATTTCAGAGATACATCTGAAGTCACCTTCCATTACATTATTAAGGATATAGATATATAGTTACAATAAATTTTATATTTAGTATATAGGAAGCGGCATTAGATAGGTACCATATTACTGTTTCAAAAACTGACTCATACCCATCAAATAACAAATTACAAGAAACTAGATATTAGCTAGTTACGACGCGTGAATATAAAATTTTAATCAGGTGCGTGCATGCGTACACTCTGGGAGCTCTTAGCAAAATAGACGCGTGGCCAACTACGGCCATAACTCTGCCACAGCCCTTTAATATTTTGATAAAAATCGACATCATTCGGATCTTGCGCAAACTTGTGGGCCATCATTCCAATATGTACGAAGATAAACACAAACCCCACTACACGATGGCCATAGGTAATGGTCATAAGCATTCGCCACAATATTGGCCAACGCGTAGAGCAGGCATTACACACTTGGTCGATGAAAAAGGCCGGAAAGAATCTTTTTATATGCACAAATTTTAGTCAAACTTTAATCTACGTTTTGTGGTAAGGCCGCAACTGTCTATGTTGATACACAGACAGACAGACAAGGGGACGGATGAATGGATAGACGTAGTCACTATTTTCGAAAGTTACCCTTAAAATATTGGTTAAATAATCAGTTTTAGGGTTCCGCCCCTCAAAGTGTTAAACGAAAATCTGTTGAACGGAAAAAGAGTAGTTAGATATCAGAAATTTCCACAGAATTCTCGTTACTGCACCCATTAAACTAGCAAGTAATAAGAAAAAATGGGTGCGTGTACTTATGTAGGCGCGTGAGAAGTTATCCTTCTTTGGCATCGTTTTTAATTGCATGCAAATAATTAATTACAATAAATTAATAAAAAGTCTGGAAAAGGACACAGTCAATAAAGTTCAGTTTTAATTTGAAAAAATAAATAATTAATCAAAATATTCAATTAAAATCGCTACTGAATATAATTTATTAGAACATATGTGATTTGCACTTGTATGAAACTCAAACACGTATTCCGAATATACAAACTAGAAACATGTGGATAAATATTATAAATATGAATACCTATAACTGTTACTTTATTACAAAAAATAAAGATGTGGTTTTTGGTTCTACTACACCAATGGTCAAGAGATGGCGCTGTAGTCTCCTGAATCGCGCTTTGGTTCCGTTGTTCCAGATTAATAAATACTTTTGATAGGCCTTCACAATGCAGTCGTTAGCACCCACAAAATAGAGATTCTATTTCTATTTTGTTGGTAGATTTTCTTAATGTGCAGTAAACACAAAAGTAACAACATGAAGTTGGTCGCCAATGTTAATTTTTGTGTTACAGTGATGCGCGCGCATCTTAAAATTTCACTCTCATCATTTTTTCATAACGCGCCTAAAGAAGTATAACTTCAATAAATGAAAATGTTGAAATTGATATCTAAGGAAAATTTTACTGGAAAGAATTTCACACGGTCCAGGCAGCAGAGAGCAGAAGTCGCGGAAACATAACTGATCAGTGCATGCCCGGATAGGGAGGGTGTAGTGTGTAGTCTGGTTCAAGTCGCCTGCTTGTAATTGTTTTCAAGTAAAATTCTTCGTTACTTTTAAAGATGAAGTATTTAAATGCTAAGAAAATAAAAATAACAAACTACCTTTTCATTGTTATTTATTCTTGCAATGTTGAATATTTGTAAAGGTATTTCGAGTCCCGTCTGCTGTTTGGTCCGCGCGGATTTCTTTCTAGCAAATTTTTTTTTTAGTTTGAACATTTAGTAATTAAATTCTTAAAAATAATAATATTATAAAATAGGTTGGTGTTCAGATTCTTTTACTTGCTATAGTTTTCAATAAGAATTATCTGAAGTTATTTTTAAACATGACGACTCTGTAAAACAGCCCTTGCTGAGTTTCTTGCCGGTTCTTCTCAGAACAATATCTCCCTAGACTTTTTTTTAAATGAGTTTTCATTTTGTATATTCTATTATGGTACAGAACCCTTCGTTTTCCGGCTCCCGATTCACACATTGCCGATTTTTAAAGCATACCTTTACTGGCAACAGTCTTACACTAACAACTTTTTATAGCGTCACCTCAAAGTCCTGACTTGAATACAAAAATAAATATCATAAGACATTTCATCAAAAAAAAAAGGCTTAAATTTAAGCAGTTGTCTCGCTGATAGATTTTCACTATGCTTATACTTTCCCTGAAGATTATAGAAGGCTCTAAAGCTAGGTCAGAGTATGCATACTATTATAACAGAACCACAACTACTAAACACAATAACAATCGGTAATTTATTTATTAACAACGACAGGAGGCGCGTTCGGCTGCGATCGTTGAAGTTAAGCAACTTTCGCAGTGGTCGGTCATTGGATTCCTCCGTGCTTCGGAAGGCACGTTAAGCCGTTGGTGCCGGCTGCATCAGCACCCGCCAATCCGCACTGGACCCGCGTGGTGGGTCATGGCCCAATCTCCCTATTCCATCCATAAGGAAGGCCTTTGCCCCAGCAGTGGGGACTTTAATAGGCTCATGATGAGGAATCGACCAAATGACCCACTATTTTAAACATTTAGGAGATGATTTTTTAACGACCTCCGTGGCCGAGTGGTTTATACGCCGGGTTTCATGGTGTCGCCGACTCGAGAGGTCCCGGGTTCAAATCCCGGTGGGGGTAGATGTTTGTGTGATGAATACGAGCATTTGAACACCCAGTTATGGGTGTTTATATGTATTTCTTTATAAATATACTTATATATGTACAATATAATATATTATGTATTCTATCCGTTACCCTAGTATCCCATAACACAAACCTTACAGTGCTTACTTTGGAGCTAGGCTAATTGGTGTGAATGTTGGAAATATTTATTTATTATTGTTTATTAAATGCGACAGGAAACTTTAATTATAATTCAAAAGATAATTAACGTCATTTAAGAGTTCAGTCTACAAAGTTATTGTCGCCCCTTAATAAAAACAAACGCATTCAAATATGAGTACAAAATCACCGTATATAACACATTATTTTTTAATTGTTAATTTCTCTTTTTACAGATCATGTCCAGATATCAAGAAACTTTACTTACTGGCGAGACCAAAGAAGAACAAAGACACAGCCAAGAGGATACAGGAACAGTTCGAAGATGTGGTATGTGTTAAATTTGTGATTTTTAAAAGAAAATTTTAAAGTAAAAGAAATAAAGTTTAAAGTATTTTTCGCACGAGGAACTGCAAAATTATTCTCTTCTCATCCTTATCAATAGAAGAATATTGCTCTCCTGCAGCTAGTAAGGTTCATTGTTATCAGCTTATGATGTCCCCACAGCTAGAACACTTAAATAAGTCTCCTATGTTTTTCGTATGAAATAGCGAAAAACAAACATACATCCATATGCATAAATGCTAAACCATCTAAATGTCGCCGCACACGGGCCACACGCCACAGCCACAAACGCCGCCACGAGAAGCTAGAAGCGGCTGCTAAAGTAGCTGAAGCGCTCGATAGTGGCCGACTAAGGGAGAGAGGGGTGGGGAATCGTGCGAGTGACGTGTGGCGGCGTTTTGTATCGGCGCATTAAGTGGCCGGTGCGGGCCACAAGAAGCGGGCAACGACGATTTGTAGCGTGTGGCGGCCACCGGCGTACCGTGTGTGGCGAGTCCATAATATAAAATGTATGAAAACTACAAGAAATATATCTCACTGTTTATTGTAACTTTAACACGAACAAACACAATTAAAATAATTAATTATAAATTTAAATACGAGTACTAAAATTTGACAAGTGCACTCTTCAGTGTTGCCAGCTGTCCTCTGTTCTCCGGAGAATAAACACCTATTTTCCACTGGTACCCAAAAAAACAGGCGTTCCCATGTAGTGTGTGAGCAAATGCTGATAACTAGACTTAAACTTCGTTCTGATTGCGTCGTTGCTTTCGGGTGTGAGCGCTGATTGGTTCGATTGTTTGACGTCGCGTCGTTTGATTGGCTATTATCTATTAGGTGGAAGTGTAGTGCATAATTTCGCTAAGCATAATAGGTATTTGTTGTTAGTAGGATAGGTTAATTTGGGGTAGTGACTTAATATTAGCGCGAGCCGAGCGAGCGAAGCGAGCGTGCCTCGCCAGCAGCGGCCGGCTAAGCGCCAGTCACCATAGTTATAATACATAAATAAACAAGAAAAAGATAAAATTTTGAATGTGAACTTTCTGCGATATGATGGTTTTGCTTTTTAATTATTATGGATATTAAATGGTTGCCTAAAGATGTTCCTAGCTTGAAAAAATTATGTGTTTGAATATCTGCTTAATGAGTAAATGCCAAATGATTTTCTGCTAAATGAAATTTATCCCATCCTCTGTAATGCTTATTAATCTTATTACATTAAAATTTCTGCGTTACAAGGTAGACCCCATAATAAAAGTATTTATAATAATAAAAATCTCAATTGCGCTACCAGAAAAGAAGAGAAAGAAAAACAGAAAAATGCCCGCGTGGTGGTTCATGGCCCAATCTCCCTATTCCATCCATAGGGAAGGCCTGTGCCCCAGCAGTGGGAACATTAATAGGCTGATGATGATGAGGTCTTCATCTCCATTTTAGCCCCTTGTATGTTTATTTTCGAGACAAAAAGGACCTTTTTTCTTTCTTAAAATTATTTCGTTCCTTGTTATATCTGTACCAAACTTCATTAAAATCGGCTCAGCAGACTAAGCGTCAACGCGACAAATAATCTTAGAATTTACAACAGGTACCTATCTCAGCAAAAAGTTCCATGAAATTAACCTCTCCTATCTCTCCTTCACAGCTCTACAGCAAACTCAAGAAGGAAAGGCCGAACTTCATCCAGAAGATATCAGTCATAGAAGGAGATGTCGGCCAATTGGGACTCGGCATCAGTGAGCAGGACAGGATCAAACTTATGAATGACGTAAGCATTTGGAACTATTGATTTTTTGTGTTTTGTTTTTTTTTGTTTTGTATCGTAAGTGGTCAATATCATCATTGTGTTTTGTTTTTTTGTTTTGTGTTGTAAGCGGTCAAGGTCATAATAATCATAATCATAATCAAAATCATTTATAGAGTATAGGCTGATACAAGCACTCATGAATGTCTAGAAGCTATGCCATCGGTTCGTAAATCTACGGCGGGAGACTTTATACTGAGAAGAACCGGCAAGAAACTCAGCAAGGGCTGTTTTTTCTCCCTGTTTTATTATTTACAGAGGCGTCAAGTTGAAAATATATAGACAGGTTATCTTCTTCTTAGCCGGTACGCTCTTGACAGAGCGGTCGTGATCGCTATGCACTTGTAGTATTATTGGAGGGGGCAGATGTGATGCGCTTCACTATGTTTCGCCATTGCTGCCTGCTAGAGGTCATCCTGCTGCACTCGTTTAGTGAACCTCCAACGGCTGACTTGATCTGGTCAGTCCATCGCGTGGGTGACCTTCCTCGCGGTCTAGTACCTTCCACCTTTCCTTGGACGACAAGGCGTTCTATGGATAGGTTGTTACGCCGAGAAACGTGTCCGAAGAATGTTATACGCCAACAGTATTGCATTTTAAAATGACACAAGTAGTCCCCGCCCCAACTCCCCTTGGAAACAGCCACCAATGGAGTTCACTTGAGAGATCTCTTTCACTCTCATTCATAAAGCATATAACATATAAACACCTTGAGCCTCTTCAATTACGTCGTGACCTGGTGTCACTAAGCGCGTTCTATCGTCTGTACCACGGCGAGTGTTCTGAGGAGTTATTCTCTCTTATCCCACCTTCCTCTTTCCTTCAGAGGACCACGCGCGCTGGCCTACGTTGTCACCGTCTAACTGTGGCCACAATTCCAAAGCGTACAAAGAAATTTGGCTACTCACTTCTTTGTCGCACTATCCGTAAATGGAATGCTCTGCCCGCTCACGTGTTCCCTCCCTCTTACAACCTGGGATCCTTTAAAAGAACGAGAACGAGAAGTAGAACTGCTGTATGAGCTATCTTCGCCTCTGGACTTCACCTTCACTTAACATCAGGTGCGGTGGAGACATTTGTCGGACCTATCTATATAAAAAAAAATCTCGCTCTTTAGGCTCTATGTGTCAAGGGTGACAGCAACTGTCAAAATAAGTTATCAAATACTTATAAATTAATTTTTTTATAGTACTTACGAATAAAATTACACGTTTTTCTTGTCTCTAATAGTTTCCGTGTATATTTTTTGAACTACGTTAAAACACACATAGGGTTTTTTGTTTGAAAAAAAAGACGTTTTAAATTCACACGTTGTAGCAAACTGTTGCCGCGGCGAGAGAGCGTGCCTGACTGAATGCAAATCGGGCAATCACCTGACTTTCGTATTGCCAAATTGAAGAAGCGTGTATGACGGATCTATAACTTTGAAACGTCATAGATTCTAGCTATATTTTCCACATTTCCAGGTTGAATTCATCTTCCACGGAGCAGCAACAGTCAGATTCGATGAACCTTTAAAGACGGCGGTTGAAATCAACGTTAGAGGCACCCGCGAGATATTGCAGCTGGCCAGGCAATGTGGGAAGCTGAAGGCAGTCGTCCATATATCTACTGCTTACAGGTAAAACTACAGATATGGATGGACCCGAGTATATTTTTGAGGAGCTCGATAGCGTGGGTGGTTAGCGCGTTCGGCTGCGATCGTTGAAGTTAAGCGACTTTCGCAGTGGTCGCTAAATCTTGTATCTCGAGTTCCTCCGTGCTTCGGAAGGCACGTTAATCCGTTGGTTCCAGCTGCATCTGCAGTCGTTAGCACCCGCCAATCCGCACTGTGTCAGCGTGGTGGATCTTAGCCCTATTCCATCCATAGGGAAGGCCTGCCCCTGCAGCCATCACAACAGTTGCAAACTACAGTTATATTGGCAATTTTCCTTTAAGTACGAGAAATGAAGAAATATTCCCATGGGAATATTCTTCAGATTTATTTCCCAGTCAATTCCTAATATTGCCACAAAATTACCTACTTAAACATTAAAGCATGCTAGCTGGCGTTATTTCCCAGTACTCATTGAAAAAAGATTACCATAGTAATATTACCAGCAAATGTTATTCCCATGTGCATATTATCAGGGAAAATTTCCATTAATCTCTGGCGTTTATTCTATAAGTTCTATAAAAGCAAATTTATATATTTATTTACAGTAACTGCACATCTGACGTGATCGAAGAGAGGTTCTACGACAGCATCATGCCCGGAGAGAAGCTGATAGACTTGGTCGAGACCATGGATGAGAACACAATTAACAACATCACACCTGGGTAGATAATTGACTTTTATTCATATAAAATTAAAAAAAATATTTCAAAATTCAATATCCTTTATTTAGTCTAGGCTGTTACAAGCACTTGTGAATGTCGGAAAGCTACCCCACCGGTTCCCAGATCTACAGCGGGAGACCTTGTACTGAGAAGAAATGGCAAGAAACTCAGCAAGGGCTGTTTTTTTCTCTCTATAATATATACAGAATCGTCAAATTGAAAATTGACTTCATTAAGAGATAACTCATGAAGTCACTTTCCATAATCTAATATATAAAATTCTCGTGTTGCGGTGTTTGTGGTTAAACTTCTCCGAAACGGCTTTCCCGATTTTCATGAAATTTTGTATGCATATTGGGTAGGTCTGAGAATCGGACAACATCTATTTTTCATCCCCCTAAATGTTAATTGTAATCCACCCCTAATTTTTTTTTTCCATTTTAGATAATTTATTTTTTATTATTTTTATGATACAGCATTAGTAAATACATATAACCCTGAATTTACAACCCTTTACAATCAACCCCTATTTTTTTATGGCCGGACGAAGTTCGCTGGGTCAGCAAGTATAATATATAATTGGACATTCATTAAACTTTATAGGGAACTAGTGGATCCCCGCGACTCTTCATCCCTTCGAATGATGACACGATGTTAAAGATATGAATATTTGAACGTGCCCACGACTTGTCGACGTAGCTTAAATAGTTTCCCATATCAACTTCCACGCCTTAAAGGATGACTACTACGATAAATATATCGTGGGGTAAATTCTATGTGCCCTTATGTAGGTTTTCCGGGATTGACCATCTCTATATTATTTTTATTTATTTATTGTTAGTTGAAAGCAAAGAATGCTACGCCCATACATCCTTTCAAGTAATAAAAAAAAATACATGTCTTTTTTTGTGTCACTAAACAGGCCCTGCAAGAATAACAGCGCTGGTGCGACACAATATCGTATCATCTAATGCTGAGGCAGGGTCTTGGTTAGCCCTGAGATTTTTGAATTTGTATCTGTAAATTTGTAAATGTGGGTTAATAAAATATATTCTATTGTATTCTATACCCATCTTAAATGAGTTCAACGGCTTAAACGCGAGAAGGCAACAGATAGACACACATGTCTTTCGCATTTATAATATTAGTATGAATATCAAATATATTTTCTTTTCTTCCAGATTACTCGGACTCTACCCCAACACATACGCTTACACCAAATCAGTGGCAGAGAACATTGTACTCAATTATTCCAAAGGTCTACCTGTAGTAGTATTCAGACCAGCCATTGGTAAGTTACAATGCAGTTTTCTTAATAACGTTCGAATTTATATAATGTAGTGTTACTAAAGCCAGAAACATATTAACCTGTCGTGTCGTGTCGTGGCGCGCCACAAGCACATCAGTTTCATACATTTACTATGGTTAGAGACATATTTACGTGTCGTGTCGTGTCGACGCTTTAACCTCTCTATCTCTCTCTAACCCATAATAAATGTATGAAACCGATGCGCCACGTCACGCCACGACACGTTAATATGTTTCTGGCTTAACACTTTTTTTTTTCAAATTCTTTTCATGCAATCAATGCTCATGACTATGAGTAGTTTAGTTGATGGCTACTAACATTATTCATTATTAATATTTATTATCTGTAATAATGTTTATGCTTAGTTTTACCTTGCTTAATAGTTAAGGTCTCTGCCCATTACACAGTATCATACCATGACCGTGCTATGAACGTGTCAGACAAAAAAATATTCTTTGTATGAAAAAGTATGAGACAATACCCACTAGCCCGTTCCGTCACCGACCAGGAGCTCTATTTTTGAATCACTCGTCTGAAATAGTATCGTCGAATGTGACATAAGTCACCTTCGACTTTCAAGTCGCATAATACTGATTTTCCGTATTTTTGAATCACTCGTCACCAGTGTTACCTGTTTGATACGAAATACGAAATTTTACTCATTTCACGCAGAAATAATAAAAACCGGTAATTACTACTACTCGTTATAGTTTCATACAAAGCATGACAATGATAGATTATCGTCCTATCAAAAAATTGACAATTATTCTATCATTCGCCTCCACCATTCGCCATGCAGCTAGTGGTCTCATCCATTCGTTGCACTCGAGCGATTCAAAAATACGGAATTATTATATCGAATGAAACTTAGTAGAAATCAAGCGTTCGACGCAAGACGAGTGATTCCAAAATAGAGCTCCAGCAGCGTCGCGTGCCATGCACGGAGCGGCTACTATTGTCGGCGAGAATATTTTGCCGGTTCCCATACGCTCCGCGCATGGCACGCGACGTTGCAAAACCGTTGCGCGCAGGCAACAAAACGGTGACTATACGGGTTAGAACCGCGTATGATGACCTTTATAAGGCGTCTTAAACGCCGGAAGTTCTGAAAGAACTTTTCTACATCTTCAACTAAGTGCTTATACAACGTCCAAAATTCTCCTACAGTTTTTCGTTCTTTTATAGAATCGTGAATCCAGTAGCATGGAGTGGTTTTTTTGATTCTGTTCTTCTTCCTTATCCAGTATTATGGTAACCATTGCCAGTTGTCTAACAGTTAATGTTTTAATAGCCATACATTTTGTATTTAAACTTGATAGCACTCCGCAGACGTCCATTCATTACCGATACAAATGTAAGAATGAAACGGCTTCTTATCGATTTTGGTGAAGACGTCATACAAATTACGCAAATGCAACATAAGGGTTGCATACGGGCATCATACGGGGTGCACACCGGCAACGTACGGGCATTATACGCCGTCGATCCGTTTCAGTGGGCATAGCAAGCCGTTTCGTGTCAGTTTCCGTGTTTGATACGGTCCTAGCACGTTCATGGTATGAAACGGTGTAGTCGGCGGAGACCTTTATTACTAAGTATGTAATGGTAAGCTTTATGGTAGGATATAGCTGAACTGTATGCAATGCTCTATCACCCCATTATTGTACCTATGCTCCACAATAAATGAATAATAATTATTATAAACAATATTTTCAAGTCACCATTAATTGACTGCTGGAAGAAAGTTTATTATGAAAATATAAGCAGTGACCTTGTATCAATCTCTTGTCTCTGGTTTCTTTTTTATTTTATTATGTGTGTACTAATTACGTTAAAATATTTTCTTTATAGTAATAGCGACAGCCAAAGAACCTGTAGCTGGATGGATCGACAATGTTTACGGACCTACTGGCGTAAGTCAAATTAAATACTTAGGCCGTATACAGAAAGAAAGCCGAAAGCCGATCGGCGCTTATCGGCGCCGATCCTTACTACATAAAGGAAGCCGATTAAAGCAGATCAAGCAAAATGTCGGACTCATCGAACGATGATTTGGTTTTGTTAGAAAATGTGTATTTAAAAATTCGAAAAGAAGCTATACATCCTATAAATAGAGAACGAAAACGTTTAGGAGAATACCATCATTTATTTGTAAAAAAATTTAAATTTGATGAACAAAGATTTTATACATATACAAGAATGACTCAAGAAATATTTTATTACATTTTGGATTTAGTGAAAAACCGTTTGATGAAAAATTGGTGCAATTGGCATAAACAACCAATCCTTCCGTGCGCGTGTCGGCGCTTATCGGCGTTTATCGGTGCTGATCGGCGCTGATCGGCGCCAACACGCGCTGGTCCATAGAAAAAGGATCAGCGCCGATAAGCGCTGATCGGCGCTGATGGGCGCCGATCGGCTTTCGGCTTTCTTTCTGTATACGGCCTTACACACTAAAAAAAAATACTTATAACTCGTAGGGATCTTCTCTTGCTGGCCAGTGAGCGTCTAGAGGTCATTGCTCCTCACTTTGAAATCATAAATCAGAAATCAATATATCTTTATTCAAATTGGATGTATAGTATATACTTTTGAATCGTCCAAACATTTTTTTTCCCTACCACTCGTTATTGGACATATTTTTTAGCTGCGGAGAAAAACGAGCGAAAAAAACTCCACAACATTAAAAACATAATGTAACAACATTTACAAATCATTATGTTGTTACAACGTCAATACAATCATGATTTATTTAATATAGAAAACCTGTTGGAATGATTGGAACAGTTCAAACCCAAGCATTTTTGTCTGGAATATAATCAGACACTTTGTAATAAACTTTTTTAATAAGTGCTTTTTTATACTATCTTTGAATTTCTTTATGCTTAACTCTTGGATATTGAATAGAATAGAATATATTGCTTAGGACTTTATTGTATAAGCGAACACAAATTGCTCTAGTCCTAATTTTTTACCGAGACAAGTCGCTAGCTAACATAACGCGATTCTATTTACTTAGTTAACGCGGATGTCGGACGCTGGTTGCGTAATATGAATAAAGGCAGGAAATATTGACAGCGGTTCATTGTTAGTACTATTGCTAGAAAAAATGACATTGGCTCTTGAGTTAATGTATTGCGTGTGTTATTCTATTAAAATAACTATGGAGTTTTGTGATGAGCGCGACGGAAGTTTCCGCCTTTAATAATATATTGAGAGTTATTGTGTGTTGGGTACGTAGTGACCGTATTGACAATTATGTTTTTGGAGTTTACTCCTTAAGAAACGATTTGCTTAAATAAGGAGCCCGGTATGAGAAAAATGTGAGGAGTAAAACTAAAATCTATCGATGAATTACCTCGTTACGTTTTTGGTGCACATCCTGTTCGAGCCAAAATGACTCTTAGATCCAAGAGCTTAGGTGCAAAAGAATTAAATTGAAACTACAGTGTATTTTGTTAGACCACAGATTTCTTTATTAGTTAGGTGACGTTTTGCCTATATGTAGCTCCAAACATATTTACAAGCGTGATGCAACGAACTACAGCGCCATCTATTTTGATACATATGAACTTTTTTTTTTAAATAGCGAGTGCTTTTGTGTCTAGCGTTAGTATGGAGTACCTAGCCGTGGCCTAAGCATCATTTTTCAAATATCGAGTTTTTATTTATAGAGATAACACAGACACTTTCGCATTTGTAATATTAATATGAAAGAATGGATTCGTGTCAAGATATGTTTGCATCCACCATTAATAGATGGCGCTGTATGTTTGTGACAGTAGCTATTGTATGGTTGGGCCAATTCATAGTGATGTCTACGAAGTTTTCCACTAGATTGATTTTATTTCGTTTTCTTTTTACCATGAGTTGCACGATTAATTAAATTCTTAAGTTTTTTTACTACATCAAAATCTTTCGCTGTCAAAGATTGTAGTATGCACAGCAGTATGTTGGCCCAAGTGGTTGGCGCGTTCGGCTGCGTTTGTTAAGCAACTTTCGCAGTGGTCGGTCATTGGATGGGTGACTAAAAATCTTCTATCTCGAGTTCCTCCGTTCTTCGGAAGGCACGTTAAGTCGTTGGTCCCAGCTGTATCTTCAGTCTTCAGCTCTTGCCAATCCGCACTGGGCCTGCGTGGTGGGTCATGGCCCAATCTTCCTATTTAATCCAGAGGGAAGGCCTGTACCCCAGCAGTGGGGACATTAATATGCTGATGATGATGATGTGTCGTCTATGTATTACACTGCAAACCAAGCGCAGTTACAGACCAAAGAGTAATATAATATACCGAATGAGTGTGCCCTCTTTAGGAACTTTTATGCAGAATATATTTAAACGCCATCTAGATTTCTGAACAGAAATTAAAAGCGTTACGTACCTAGCTAGCTATAGAGCTAGCTAGGTACGTAACGCTTACGTACAGTATGGTACGTATAGGTATAGACCTATACGTACCATACTGTACACACACTACAACGAAAATATAAACTTACTTACTAACTGTATTCCTTACCTTACTTACCTTCGATAATTGTCTGTCAGGTTGTAGTAGGCGCAGCAGTAGGTCTCCTCCACACGTTACACTGCGAACCGAGTGCGGTGGCAGACCTTGTCCCCGGCGATATGGTAGTGAACGCGTGCATAGCGGCCGCCTACCGCACCGCGCGCGACTACCCCGCCAACCGCGAGGCGGCGCCACCGCAAGACTTACCGCCGCCCGTCTACAACTTCGTGTCGTCCGAACAACGTCCGCTTACGTGGCGTGAGTGTTTTTTTTTTTATTATGTATGTTGTTGGTCGCAGATGACATTGAAGCTCCGAGTTCTTAGCAGTGGTGGCGCTAGACCACATGTGGACGTCGGCGACATCAAGTTCGCGAGGCCTATTTTACTTCGCAGTAAAAAACCGTTAAATTAAGTGAGCCCAATAATAAAATAACGTATGAGTAAACGAGTTTTATTGTTGATAATCAAATGATGACAAAAAATAATTACAAACATAGAAATTTAATTACAAAAATAGTGTTGCCAGACAGACTATTCTGAATACCCGTAAAGTACTACTCGCTTCCACCACGCACTTGTTCGAAAATAATAAAAGTCATTATCATCTGCTTAGCTTTTTCCCGAATTGTTCGGAGTCGGCTACCTAAGCCAGGCCAGGAGAAACGAAAATAAATAGGTAACTTCTAAAAATTTTTTGCGAGGCCCCCTCAGGCGCGAGTAGGGTTACCATATCTCAGGATTTGTCCTGAGATTTCAGGATTTTTGGACTCTTCTCAGGATTGCGGCTGGATTTTGCAAATCTCATGAAAACTCAGGATTTTTTGAATTTCCAATAAAATACAGCTTACGTTTTAAAGATCTCTTTAATAAAAAGTTAAACAAACTAAAAATAATCTTCTATTGGTAATAATTGCACAATTAAAATCAGTACTTTATTATCCAAGTCGGTACTTAATCAGTTTTATCATACTTAAGAATGTATCTGAAGATACATTTTTAAGTAAGGTTTTTCTTAAATTATGCCCCACATGTTAAGCTCCTCAGATTAATTTGATTTAAAAGTATAAGCACAGAATAAACGACAATATTACGACTTTTTTAAATTGTTAAGTACGTTTGAGAGAAAATTCTCAAACTGTAAAAAATCTCAGGATTTTTCATTGGTAATCAAACCTTTTCTCCGGACTTTTGATTTTATCATCTGGTAACCCTAGGCGCGAGGCCGTCGGCGGTGGCCGACGTCGCCGACGTCTAGCGCCGCCACTGGTTCTTAGGAGCAGTTCTTCATAATATCGGCCGTAATATTACGGTGACGGTGACTCTAGACCACTTGAGCCTGAGGGGTCAGCTCAAGTGAAGAAGTTGTGAATAAAACATTCATATAAACGCCACTATGCCCTCCTTTAAGAAGAACTGTTTTAGGCGCTAACTCTCCTTATGCGAGTTTCTGTCAAATTTTGAACGGCTTTAGTGATAAAATTTATTTACACTTTGATAGTCCTAGAGCATTAACTTCAGCCATTAGTAGGAACTTGACAGACTGAGTGCCCGAGATGCTTATGTTTATAATTCTAATTTTAGATCCTTTATTTTTGTAATGAACTTTTGTGGACAAAATAACATATAACTTAGGGTAAATTAGGTAAAATTTTAACACATATTGTTTGATATAGATATGGTAAATGTGGTGTTTACCTATAATTAATTGTAACATTGATATACAGGGTGTGACAAAAGACCGAAATAAAACTTTAGGGTTTGGTTGTGTTCCTTGTATATAATTACCTACGAAAGCTTGACCTTTTGGCCTTTGTGGCCTTTCAGACCACTTTTATTTTCTAATTAAATTATTAAAAATATCGTTTTACACCTGCCTTTGACAACCCTACAAATGCGTACGATTACTACTACCTAAACAGACCCCCCTCTCTCCCCCAGGCGCCCCTGCGCCCCGCTCAGATACTTACAAATTTTTATTTCAGAATACATACCCACAAATTTTATTTCGGAATTCTGTAACACCCTGTATGTGTCTCCGTGTCTATAATTATAATTGCTTAAATGTTACAATTGTTGGTAAGCCTTTTAAATAAATAAATAATTGAACGCACTTAAGCATTTGCATAATATTACACGTTTACAGAAGTATTTTTTAGAAGAATTTTATGGCGCGTTTACACTTGCTTGTTAGCCCGAATACAAGTGCCAATGAAATTCGGTTAAACGACTAAGTATAACTGAGCGGAGTTCTAAGTATGTATAGTACTACGTATAGTAGGAGTAGATTTCCTTTTCTTTACCCGACACCGTCTTCCACCTCGTATTCCAGGGTAAATATTGCTTCGGGTGCCCGAATTCGAGTAATGTATTTTGTGCACCCGAATACGTGCTAGCAACTAAATGCAATTGCAGTATCACACCTTCTCCATTAGAAACTGATTTTCAAACCAATATACATATTTATTATTGCTATCAGATCTTTAACATCGAATCCTTCTCTCCACAGGAGAATTCATGGCCTACAACGAGCACTATGGCCTGGAAGTGCCTCCGATGCAAGCGATGTACTACTATATATTCACTTTAACTCCATCCAGATTCCTTTACTTGTTCTACTGTTTTTTGATGCACTGGATACCGGCTTACATCGTCGACGGCGTAGCTGTACTCATCGGAAAGAAACCCATGTGAGTTGTGATTCAGTTAATATTTTAAATAAAACGTCAACAAATATTTCTAGTTTTCTATCAATATTTCCAAATTAAAAAAAATTAGAACATTCCCATGGGATTACGGAATGTTACAGTAAAATTACGAGTCAATATCACCGGAATATTCCTTAAGAAGATTCCCAAAACTTACAGAAAAGTTAAGAATATTCCCATGGGATTAGAATATTTTACAGGAAAATTACGAGTCAATATAGCGGGAATATTCTCCATATATCTGTGTATATCTCCTGTTTACAAATTATCACAGAGTTTTCGATATTCCCGGAAAATCGGAGTTTTTGTAATGCTTCAATAGTCTAACTGAAAAATATTTCTAAAGTGTTTACAATATTTAAAAAAAAACCGATATAAGTACCGAGAAAAGCGTAAATGTACAATGAGTAAAATCCCGGGAGTTTTCCTAATTTGCTAAGAATATTCGAAAAGATTACATTGTTTTCGAAAAAGTTTAAAGTATTATCAGGGGCTGTTCATCATCATTATCACAGCCTATTAATGTCTCCACTGCTGTGGCACTGGCCTTTCCTATGGGTTGAATAGAGAGATTGGGCCATGAACCATGACGAGGGCCCAGTGCAGATGCAGCCGGGAGCAACGTACCTTCTGAAGCACGGAGGAGCTCGAGATAATAAGTTTTTTGGTCACCCATCTAATGACGATATTGCTTGACTTTAACGATCGCAGGCCAAACGCAGGCCGAACGCAGTATATACCCTGGCCACTGAACATTCCATCATCATGGGGGGCTATTACTATTATTTAAGTTTCTTTAACACTATTATTTTAGTTACTAAATCTAATTTCCAACTTTTTTGAATCACCAGGTTGAGGAAAGCGTACACCAAAATCTCCAAATTCGCCGACGTACTCGCCTACTTCGCTACGAAACAATGGAAGTTCTACAACACAAACGTGCAGAACTTGTACAGCGAATTGTGCGACGCTGACAAACAAATTTTCGACTTTGACATTTCCAATTTGGACTGGACTGATTATTTCTACAGCTACGTTCGTGGGTTAAGAGTTTACCTCCTCAAAGATCCGTTAGAGACCATCCCTCAAGGCCGCACTAAGCATACAAGGCTTATGTACTTGCATTACTTCTGCTGCACCATTTTAAGTCTCATCGCCTTAAGGTTATTATGGGGTATGACTAGTTACTTCTATAGTTTAGTCTTCTAAATCATCTACAGAATCTTTGCAATTGTTATTGAATTCTAAATCATCTACCAAATCTTTGCAATTATTAGTGAATTCTTAATAATCTACAAAATCTTTGCAATTGTTAGTGAATGTTGAATCATATACAGAATCTTTGCAATTGTAAGGGAAAAGTGATCTTTTATTTATTGCTTCTATTTTGTTTCCTCTTTTTTTTTGTTTTGTTTTCTACTGTCACAAGAGGTTCAAGCACGAACTTTGCAGGTCCTTAATCGCATCGAATCTTCAAAGTTTCTTTGAAATCTACTACCGGACGTAAAAACATAATAGCTTTTTCGCTTATTTCGTTTCAAAATTTGTCGTAGACGATATGATTACGATCAAAGTTCGTATTTGGGCCTCAGATTATCTTTAGAAGTGTTGATCAGTTTTGATATATGTGTTAAATCAAAGTTAATGCTCTATTTATTTGGTTGTCTGATTGTGGTGCCTACTTACTGTTTACTAGTGCCTGTTATAATGTTGTGAGCTATATTTCTGTTGTTGACGATATATTTATTTGAATTTGTTGTGTACAGGCCCATGTTTCGTCTGAAATTATTTAACAATAATGCCTTGTATTTGATAAAAATCTGCAATATATTTAATAAAATCTTGGATGATGAGTAATTAATTGTGTATGGCGTTTTTAATTGAAGCTTCATTTTAGATTTTTAGATCACAAGGCTTAATTTTGTTCATTTGAATTTTTGTATGATCTGTTTTTGTATAATATAATATTAATTATTATTATGTGTGGATTCCATTATTTGTAATGTAAGATAATTTCTTTCCCTATTTTTATTTTCTATCATTATTTTAATTATCTGGTTACGTAATTTAAGATCTTATTTTATTTTATTGATTCTATTCATGACCTTAAAACCTGTAGGATGAACCTTATTATGTATCTCATTATCTTCTGTTTTGCCGTATATCGCAAAAAAGAGGATTTTTTTTTCATCATTAATAAAAAATTATAGGTGAACTAGTCGCAAATTTAAATAAAATAATAAAATGAATCAGATTATGACATATATTTTATTTTAATGTTGAAAACATTAAAATGTAATTACTGTATGTATTTGTATGCTCTTGTTTGTATGAAGTAGAACATCTGATATGCTGTTTCTTGATTTCACTTCATCAGTAACTTTAAATTCTTATTTAAGAACTATTTTATAATCTTCAAATATTATGACAATTATGTAATCAGGTTGAACCTCTAAATTATTAAAAGGGAACTAGCTTAAATGTATTTCAGCCGTCTGTCGTAAATTTCTATTTATTATTTATCATATCTGAGAAACTTTTACTTTTCTTTTACACAGAGAAAGATTTTTTTCTTGAGAAATAAAACTTAACCCAGGTATTATCTTCTTCTCGCTTATGATCAGTCTAAGATACATTAGAAGGAAAGTCTATTCCACCATTAAGGTCTCAGTAATAAGAGGTTAGTAGGTTAGGACGCTGGTTCGATTCCAAACAGATACTTGGACAGAGTTGATTTTTTTTTAGGGTTATTTTCTTCAGTTATTGTTTTCGTTAACTGGAAGTCTTTAACGAATATATAAGAGTAACATAGCTATTGTAGACATACTGTGTTATAGACTCGGATATTGTCATTAATATTGTATTTTTTTATTATTATTTATACATTAATATTCACTTACGAAGTTCTTTTACAATCTTATTCCCTTATTCATTCAAGATGCACTTCGTAAGTCTAAAGTATCTTTCTCTAAGGTCAATCTTACAGAAAGATACTTTACTTTGCAATAATAATTACAATTCCAGAACTTCCGGAATATTGATATCAATAATACTGACAATATATGTATATCTTACGTAGGCTAAAAGCTTTGCACATAACAATAAAAAAATGTGATATTACACTGTTTGCTCAGATTATTTTTGTAAGTTTTCTAATGTTTAAATGTTATGTATAAAATATTTTTTTGTGTAGGTACGATTTAGATGCCATTTTTAAAGTTTAAGTTATAAAATAAAATATTTTAATATACAAGGAGAATTCGTGTTTTTATTTTCTAAATTATAAGCTCGTTGCGTTCAGATCGGTACTGCATTTAGTAAAAAAAGTATTTTTTATTATGAAAAGGGTTGCAAGCCAGCGTATGTCTCGCCTGATGGTAAACGGCCACCATAGCCTAATATAGACGCTTAGCTTGCGAAACCAAAAATATCACTGGCTTCGTTGCCCACTCCGACCCAATCCCCAACTTTGTGGAGCCCCTGAAACCCTAAGGTGAACGCAGACTTGGGCGCACCGCAGTCTCCGCAGTCCCCGAAGTCATCGCTTTTTGTTAATGGCCTCGCACATCTATCGGCACCGCAGTCACTGCAGTCGTTCCCGTCGCCGCACGCATCGCACTTGATTTCATTCATTCAGTTGATGCGAATGACGTCATCAGCGCCGCGCTAGCCGCAGCATCCGCTGCGTGCGGGCCGGCGTTGGTGACGTCATCAGCTGCGGCTTGGGGAGTTCGGTCGTTTCAGGGACTGCGGCGACTGCGACGCGGGTGGTTGTGCGAGGTTGCATAGAACTTCATATAAAGAATTCGAATGCGAAGTCTGCGGCGCGTGCGGTGCGGCCAAGTCTTTACTCACCGAAAGAAACTTAACACCACCAATAGATATTTGTTTTTTAATTAAGTGACTAAAAATATTTTTATTAACTTTCTGGCTCATCTTCAAATTAGCAGTAGGTTTTTAGGCACTTATGAGACAAATTTTGGGCTAATTTCCGAACGAGTATTTTACAAGACAAGACAATTGACAATGATGTTCTGCTCTATGTGAAGATGTCATTCCTAACCTAACCTATCCAGATGAGTTTTTACAATATTTTTTACGTTTTAGTTGTGATTTTTTTAGTTTTATCTTTGAATAGCATAGCATCCTTTGGCAACCAAGATATTAACATAATGAACAGTGGAGTTGAAACTTTATCACCGTATTCTGTAGGTTTAATTTTGTATGCAACAGTGAATAATACTTCTTCCTTTAATGATTATGATGTGGAATTGAAACCTGAAGAATGTTGCTTGAACATTGATGCGAGAGACGTATGCGACGTCATGTTTATTGAAGGAGAATGCGTCGAAACTGTTCCTAGAAGTTAGTAATATTTTCATACATTAGCTTCATTGGCATATTAATGGGCTAAACTGTACTTTCAGGGTCCAAGTAATGATACTTCACACTAGGTTAGGTTAGTGTAGTTTTTTTTAAAAGACTTTTAAAAAAAATGTTAGAGTATCACCTCTTGGGCCCTGGGAAGTACAGTTTTTCCACACTGCTGGAGTACATGCCTTCTTTAAAGAAGACAATGATGAATGAGGACTATGATCTAGAGTGGGGTATATGGTGGGTGCTTACGACTACATATGCGGCCGGGACTCTAGGATTACCATTTATTTCAGGGAGGATGCCCGTCTAGGATAGGCAAAGTGCCTAATTTTTCAGAAAAAGGCCTGTCTATAGTAAAAAAAAACTTTCAAGCTAATTTAAGATACTAGTATCAATCTCATTCGTTCTTATTCGTTCGGCCAATTTAAACAATGCATCTCGCCCGCAAGCAATTCGCGCTGTCTCGTTTTTCCTTACTGCATTACACGCACACACGGTGCATGCGTGTCTTGACTGCGTTAGTGACACGCGAAATTCAAAAATGCATGCCTCTGCTAAGATCTGCCGAGCTGCAGAGATCTGAGAGACGACCAGGACCTTTCCGATCAGCTTGATCCTTTGGCTTTGCGTAGGGATGTAGCTTCGCTCTGCATCTTCTATCGCATTTATCACGGGGAGTGTTCTGAGGAATTGTTCGGGTTAATTCCAGCTGCTGCATTTCGCCATCGTACATCGAGAGAAAAATTTCATCTCCATCATCTTGATGCGTGGCTTTTTACCGTGCGGTTTAGTCGAAATTTTTTACCACGTACGACAAAACTGTGGAATATATTGTCGCCGGCAGTGTTCCGGACCAATACGACCCAAAAAAAAGGGTTAAAGGTCGGCATCGCATTTGTGATACTCCTGATATTGCAAGTGTCCATGGGCGACGGTGATCACTTACCATCAGGTGAGCCGTCTGCTTGTATGCCCCTTATAACATAAAAAAAAATATCGGGTCGCACGTCTGTCTTAACCATAAAATGTCTGTCAAATGCAGCAAAAGCCTGCCAGATGGTAACCCTATTTTACCCGATGATGACGGTGAGAAAAAATGCATTATATCCACGACAACGACCAACGCCACGTTGGTTTGCTGTTAACAAACCCTTGCGACGCAGGTAATTGCGTGGTGCATTCGGCAAGCGGCGAGCCGCCCGAGGGCCGCTAGTCGGTGCGGGTATACTTTGACGTGCACTCACGCAAGCGTGGCATACGTCAAACCACCCCGCCTCCGACCAGCAGCCCGGGTTCGCACCCGCTTTAGCCGATCCTGGGCTTCTCCGTTCACAGCGTCACCTGACTTGTTTCACGGACCGCAGTCCGAGCGGCTAGCCAGCCGAACAGCTCCCGTACCTACCAGGTAAACCAACTCCCCGATCTACACCTCACCCTCCAGGAGTAACTGCGGGGTCCAGTTATGAGTCGCCGCTTGTTACGCCTGGATGGCAGATGATAGCCTTAGCCGGGACCGACGACGACGTGGCTCGGAGCAGCTCGAGTAGATTTACAGCATTGTATATGTATGTAGTATAAAAAGGTGTTGAGAGGCGATTGATCGCCCAACAAAGGTGCATCAAAACATATTCGAACGGCGCTGTGTTATACATATACATCAAATAGTACTATTATAAATATCATTATTATTATTTTTATAAAATACTAGCGGACCCGACAGACGTTGTCCTGTCTACACGTCTTTGTGAATCTAAACCATTCTCAGATCCCCTTGAACACACACAAAAAATTTCATCAAAATCGGTCCAGTCGTTTAAGAGAAGTTCAGTGACATACACACTCACAGAAGAATTATATATATAAAGATTGATATATTTGTA